AAAAAAAAAAAAAAGATGAGTTCAGCCCAAGTTCTTCTGTGCTTTGCATACTCACTGTTGTCTTTTTGCCTTCTGCCACGGGATAGCCCTCACCAGGTGCCAGTGCCAAGATCCTGGACCTCCCAGCCTCCAGAACTGTGAGCCAAATAAACTAGTCTTTATAATTTACCTAATCTGCGGTATTCTATTATAGCAGGAGAAAATGTACTAAGATAGAGGGGATCTGCTACAAGAAAATCCAGTCGTTTATATTTGACTGGTTTCTCCAGGTTTCAAGTGCCATCTCTAAACACATGAGATTTTTTTAAACACTGAAAAGGAAATGTCCATGTGACACACATGCCAAAATGTACGTAGTGACCTTTCAGTGCAAAAAAAAGGAACTAGAACTCCATTATAAAGATAAGAACAGACTTCATCCCTGACATCTATTAGCATTTACACATTTTACTCACTTACTATAAATAAAATGACCTCCCACATTTTGAGGGTGGTATGGTTTGAATGTCTCCCCCAAAAGTTCATGTGTTGAAAATTTAGTTGCCATAGAAACAGTATTAAGAGATAGGGTCTTAACTATCTCTAAAAACATAACTAGTAAACTACCTAGTGCACAGAATACTGTGACTTTAATCATTAAATGTTCTTCAGATTCCTTCTCAAATTTTTAGATTGAACAACTGGGATTAATGAGAAGAAAAGGCCCACCTGGGCACGGTGGCTCACGCCTGTAATCCCAGCATTTTGGGAGGCCAAGGTGGGTGGATCACAAGGTCAGGACATCTAGATCATCCTGGCTAACATAGTGCAACCCCATCTCTACTAAAAATACAAAATGTTAGCAGGGTGTAGTGATACATGCCTGTAGTCCCAGCTACTCTGGAGACTAAGGCAAGAGAATCACTTGAACCCAGGAGGTGGAAGTTGCAGTGAGTCGAAATTGCACCACTGCACTCCTGGGTGACAGAGGGAGACTCAGTCTCGGGGAAAAAAAAAAAAAAAAAGGGAAGAAAAGGCCCTTGAGGACACGGACCATGTTTTATTTACTCCAGTTCCTTATTTAGTGCCTGAGCATGCAGACACCTTAAAACTGCTGAATGGATGTCTGTCTAGGGATTTTTTTTGTTGTTAATAAAGTCGATTTGACATTCTTTTTCATTAAAACTCAAATCTTAAATGATATGACTTAAGCAACACTAGAAATGAGTGGAGTGTTTAAGATCAAAGGCAAAAGGAACTCTAATTGATAAGTCATTTCCCACATGGGTAAAGGATACAATTCTGCAGCCTCTATACATGTGTACTGGAATTGAACAATTAGACAAGTAGATGGGGTGGTTGGTAGGAGCCATGTTTCTCACTGTTGGATTGGGAGGCTACAGACACACAAGGGAAGTCTGGAATGATCAATATGGTAATAGAGTAGAGGTAGAGACATAAGTATGAACTCGTTTTACTCACTATAGATACAGATGGTTACATACAGAAACATCTATAGATGTACACCTATAGTGGTTAATATACATACATGTATTTACTTGTTGTCAGTTGAGGAGGCCTAAAAATAACACCCAGTAGCAATCAGCATACTTAGCACCCAGATCTCAGTTTTTAACACCCTTTTCCGATGAAAGGAACCAAGGCTCCTTAGAGAAATGGCTCATTCTAGGGCTCATACAAAAAGACGAGAGCATCCTATAGTACCAGAAAGGGTGTGTTCAAAAAAAACACAATGACAGGGTAAGTCACAGGGAAATGGGAGCTAACTGAAAGACCTTTCAACGGTCAATGCAGAAAAGAATGTGAGTTAAAAAACAAAACAAAAAACACACACATTAGATTTTAACCCCAGATATAAAATAAGTATCCATGAGTCATACTGACATAAATCATTGATTAAAATTAATGGTAGAGGGTAAGTCTCCTGCGCAGAATTCTAAATCATTTATGTACTTCGCCAGCAAAGTAACTCTGTTACTTAAGTGACTTAAGGTTATTTCCGTTTCCAAAGAGCACAGTATGTATGAAAAGGGGAAACAGAAATAATTTTTAAAAATATCATTCAGAAGACCAATAATTTCATAGCAGAAAAAACTGACAAACAGTACATCAGCCAAATGAGGTCAACCTCAAAAGTAGTATCATGTTTACAGCACGTGTCCTCAAAATAATGTGATGAAAATGGCAATTTACCTCTGTGGGTCTTCCCCACAGAACATATAGCCTCAGTCTAATCATGAGAAAAATCCCAGTTGAGGAACACTCTTCAGGTATTTACCTGACCACTACTCTTCAAAACTGTAGTCATCAAAAACAAGGGAAGTCTGAGAAAATCAAAATAAATTATGAACTTTAGTTAACAATGAGTCATTTCAACAAAGGTACCATACAAATGTATGTTAGCAGGGAAACTGTGAAGTATGTTAAAAACCTGTACTGCTGTGGGAATTTCTCCAGAAATCTAAACCTGTCCTAGTTTATTTTTTTAAAGTTTATTTAAAAAAATTACATAGCAAGGCAGAAAAAACAAAACAGAAGGCTTAGAGAGATACAGCTTTATATTTATGAAAAGTATTTGTCTTTCACCATATCTGGTAAAGCATTTTACAGTCTCCTAGGGTTTAACTGTTAGTCAAAGAAATAAATTTTAGTTCAAACTATTTACCTGAAGATTAAAAAACAAAACAAGGCCGGGCACAGTGGCTCACCCCTGTAATCCTAGCACTTTGGGAGGCCAAGCTGGGTGGATCACGAGGTCAGGAGTTCGAGACCAGACTGGCCAACATGGTGAAACCCCGTCTCTACTAAAAATACAAAAATTAGCCAGGTGTGGTGGCAGGCGCCTGTAGTCCCAGCTACTCGGGAGGCTGAGGCAGGAGAATCACTTGAACCCAGGAGGTGGATGTTGCAGTGAGCCGAGACCACGCCACTGCACTCCAGCCTGGCAACAGCTGCACTCCAGCTCAACGACAAAAAATGAAAGACAGAAAAAAAGTTGGCTAATTTTACTTGAGGAAAAAAGATAGGGCTATTATAAACTTATTTAACTAGTCTTATTTTTGATTAAATAGAATTCTTGGTTAAATCTGAACAACGTTAACAGCTTCCAATTGGTATTAGAATCAAATCCAAGGGTTATACATCATCTGGCTCCGGCCTACCTTCTTTGACTTCATTTTACACTACCAATTGCCCCAGTCTTCATTCACTTGGGCCACACCAGTCTTTCTGTTCTAAGAACCTAGTAAGCCGGCTGAGGCGGGTGGATCACAAGGTCAAGAGATCGAGACCATCCTGGTCAACATGGTGAAACCCCGTCTCTACTAAAAATACAAAAAAATTAGCTGGGCGTGGTGGCGCATGCCTGTAATCCCAGCTACTCAGGAGGCTGAGGCAGGAGAATTGCCTGAACCCAGGAGGCGGAGGTCGCGGTGAGCCGAGATTGCACCATTGACTCCAGCCTGGGTAACAAGAGCGAAACTCCATCTCAAAAAAAAAAAAAAAAAAAAAAAAAAAAAACGTAGTAAGCCTTAGAGCTTTCATATTTTGTCCTTGTCTGGTACCTGTTATCTACTGCTGCGTAGCAAACTACCCCCAATACTTAATGGCTTCATACAACTTCCATTTTATTCACTCATGATTCTGAGAGTCATCAATCTGGACTGATCCCATCAGGGGGCTCATCATGCAGCTTTAGTCAGCTGGCAGCTAGACTGGGGATAGGTGACTAGTGGTCACATGTCTGGCTGTTGGGTGAGCCATGTATTTCTAATGGGCACACTAGGGCTTTTTCACATGGATGCAAGCAAAGGTCCAAGTGTAAGAGTAGAAGCATTCCCTTGATCAAAGCAAGTTAACAAGGCCAGTCCATACACAAGTGGTGGGAAGCAGACTCCAGCCTTGATGGGAGGAGTATGTAGCCATTCAAAATCGGATACATGTAGAATGCTTCTCCTGAAAGCCTTCCATAGCTGGGCCTCAGTCATGCTTTCTTCAAAGTATAGTACCTTCAGAGGCCTTTCCTAACCACTGTATTTAAAATAGCTCCTCACTGGGATTTCTTCATCCTTCACCTTTTCATGACACTCTTTTATTTTTTACCGTTACACTTATTGTTCCGTGGTTCCCTTGCCTGTTTTCTCTGTGGGAGCAATGAATGAACATGGCAAATTAAGTACCTGCCTTGTTCATTCCCAAGAGCTAACACAGTAGGTACTCAATAATTATACAGGCAATTCACATCTTTATTTTTTATTCCACATTAAGAAAGATGATCAAGTTATTAAACAACTGAAAAAGTAGTGCACTTCAGTTAGTCAAATGCACTTTAGTAAAACCAATCTAAGTGGACATAAGATTTTTGTCTCTTCTGTCCAGACAAAAAAATGAAGAACCTATGTGTTAAGTACAAAGGAGAACCCTGGTGTGGTGGTGTACGCCTGAAGTACCAGCTACAAGAGGCTGAAATAGGAGGAGTGCTTGAGTCAAGGAGTTCAAGGCTGCAGTGAGCTATGATTATGCCACTGCACTCCAGCTCTGCGCGATGACAGAGCAAGACCTCATCTCTAAAACAAAACAAAAGATAAAGTAGAAAGTTACCTGAGTCTTTTCCAAGTTATTTAATTTACAGCATCTGTCTCCAAATATAGTAACATAAAGATATCAGTTTAGAAATTAACTTTTTTCCAGATCACTCCAACACAAAATCTCTCAACTGAATCTCTAGTTTGTCTAATTTTGTTAAGAGCTTATTACATGAGAAGGTTCAGAGACTTTTATTTCCATCCCTCGACAAGCAGTGACAGTCAACATAACAGGCTCTGTAGCACCATGATATTCCAAACCAGACCACTCCAGCCACCCTCTCATTCAAACAAAAACTGCAAGATATGGCTGGATTACTCGAATCACATCTGATCTTAAACAATTCAGGTAAAGAAAGTTGTACTATAAAGAATACTTTCCAAAATTGTTTACTCAAATAAAAACAGATCAAGTCATTACAGAGCATTTTTCCATTTTATTAAGAATAACAGACCTACTCAAGGTAATTTTATTGTTTATTTAAATAAGGATAAGGCTACTTAAAAGACTTTTTACATACAAAAATGTACAAGGTTAAACTTTTCTGTACTTAATTACAAAACCTGCACAAGCGTTTAATAAAAGAGCACACTTAAAAACATTTTGACCATTATTTAGCCTCTAAAAATTACTGAAGTTCAACAGTAGTAAATAGAGGAAGCTCTTACATATATATGACTTAGTCTTCTGGCAGTTTTACTTAATGTAAGTTTTTAAAAGGTCACATTGCTATTGAATGAGTCTCTATAGATCAATTTTAGAATCGTCTCTCAAAACTTAAGTCAACCAAAATATTATTTCAAATAATAATTCCAATTCTGAAGAATTTTAATACTAGCAAATAGATTATGGCCTCATAGTAGTAACTGAACCAACTTTCCAAAGTGCCTGGTAGCTGTCCAGATGAATTAGGTTACTTTGGAAAACTGTACTGCATTTACAGCCATTGAGAAGCCATTCAGTGCCCTGGTGCTGTAGGGTCTTGAGACTTTCCAGAATTCACACAGCAGTCTATGATCCCTCAAATGTAAGAGGACAGGGGTCAGCCTATCTTCACCCCTCAGTGAATGAGGAGGGCCAAGCAGTATGACTTGCAAACCTAAGCCAGAAGCTTAGGATCTACAGTAAAAAGGAAGAATTAAAGTAGAGAAAGAAAATGTGTAAGGAGAAAGGGAAAATAACAAACAAAGAGGGAAAGGAAGAAGAAACAAGGATACCTGCTAATGGCAGGAAGTGATAAAGTGCCCATAACTACAACTTACAAGCCTCCCACTAACTCTAATGTCATTCGTTTGCCTACTCCAGGATTAAGAAAAGCTGGCTTTAGTGGACTATAAAATCAAGAGCAACATTACCTACTTCATGTTACTGAGGAACTAGTATTCTAAAGTTGTCTGCCATTGAAATCAAGTTCTTCTAACCTTTTAAGCAAACCAAAACCCTTCAAAATATAGGGCTCCCAAGGCTGCTGCTCCAGATTCCCAGCATTCAACCTGCTTCATTATGTGGAGAAGGGCATTTCAAGACAAGCCGTATCCATACACCTTCAGAAGGAACAAAGCTCTAAGAAGGTTGGATGACGTTAATACATAGTACATGGTTTAGCATTTCTCCACATTTCAAACTCAAAATAGCTCAATAATATGCTGCTACCATGAGCATTGATTCTGAATGTTCATAATATAAACTTCAATTTGAAGCAACAATGTTACACAGTTCAGCTGTTATTACCAACCTACTCTGTAAGTTAAAATACAAATAAAATATTAATTTTATTGACTAACTAAAAATAAGTTCCCACTGACTTAAAATTGTCAAATGGCTAACTCTCTCTCAACTAAGAGAGAAACACAGATGGAAGCGGAAAGGACAAGTGAATATAAAATAAAATTTGTCAGTCTACTCTAAAATTCGCACTTTTAAAATCTTCCTTGGCATATATTTATGTATAGGATCACAGTTGCCCACCATTATTACATCTATCAGCCCTGCAGATAACAATTTACTGTTAATAATTTATGCAATACTTAGTATGTTTTGTCTTATGTGTATAGATTTACAGTCTGGAATAAAGGCAGAATGATTAAAAACTACTGGGTTAAAGTCTTAGTATGGTACTTACCTGCAAGGCTGAATTAATTGTTTGGAAGGCTATTCAATAGCTGAACTAAAATGCTTGTTTTAACAAATCAAGAGGAACAAGACTCCTTTAAAACATACTGAAAAAGGTCTGAAAATCAGTCATATAAAGAATTATAAATTATCCTTTGCTCTTACTTAGAAACACATAGCAGAACAGTAGAAACTAGAACTCATGAATATAAGGTAAACCCTATCTTCCCATTGATTTCCATTATACAACTGGAGTGAAAATACTACTTGAACAAAAATAAACAAAAAACCTTAGCAGATAATTCTGTGTGGAAAGCCCTGTGGGAAGTGTCTATATTACAGCTGCAGGAAACCTCACTTAAGCTGGGAGTCCATCTTCCTATGCTGCACTCTGTAGTGACTTCTGACTCCAGCAGCTCCTCTACTATCTACTCCATATTATGCTAATTTTTGCCCCTAATTCTACGCCCACTCCCAATTCTCTAAACTTACTGCCATCGAATACCATCTCTAACATGATCACTCAGCCTGAAGATATTTTAAATCAACTTCATTTTGAAAAGATTATGCTCCCAGGAGTGGTAATAGCTGAATTCACAGAGTGAGATCACAGACTGCTCATGAAAAGAGTAGGTAGGACTGCTGCATGACAACAACATTCTAAAGGGTGGTTCACGTGCAGAACCAACCTGTCAACTCATAATATATACATCCATTGTTATGACTTCAAAGAAAGAAGCAATAGCAAGCACTGATTCCCTTTTGCTTTTTTTGGGAAGCAGCAATGTAAGCACTAAAAGAACAGCATTTTTATCTGTATATTCTGAACAGTTTTCCAGCAATACTACAGAGATGCTTTTCTTGGTGAAACTTTTAGAATGAATGTTGTAATATTTACTAAAATACTGTGACAAACTGTTTTATGTTTCAAAGAAATAAAAATGGCAAACTAGCAAAATATTTGAGTTTAAAAAAAAAAAAATCTCAAATTTCCCCAAGACTCTGAACAAGGCTAATGAGAGTAACTCCTAAAATTCACTGGATGCTTTTCTTTTTGAGACAAGAGTTTCACTCGTTGCTCAGGCTGGAGTGCAATGGCAGTTGCTCACTGCAACCTCCGCCTCCTGGGTCTAACAGATTCTCCTCCCTCAGCCAGCTAATTTTGTATTTTTTAGTGGAGAAGGGGTTTCTCCAGGCTGGTCAGGCTGGTCTAGAACTCCAGACTTCAGGTGATCTGCCTGCTTCGGCCTCCCAAAGTGCTGGGATTACAGGCATGAGCCACCGTGCCCAGCCAATTCACTGGATGCTATATAGTAGGCTTGTAGCTAATGATTTGACTAGGGTCAATATAAATGACATATACTAAGCCATTGGTTTAAAAGATATTCTTTCTAATCAGGGCAAGACAGGCAAGAATTTTAAAAAAGAAAGGGAGGGAGGGAGGGAAGAAGGAAAGGAAGATAAATCCTTTATTTTTTTAAACCTATTTGAAACCTCTTAAGAAAATTCCATGATAAACAGGATTTCTGTAAATACTGTCAATATATATGAACATGTTTGAAAAACTACAGTTACAGCATATTTACATTTTCAGAAACTTTCCTTCAGGGCCAAGTAACATGTTGTATTTTCCTTTTTGCTTGTGGGGGCTTCAGGTTATTCTGAAAGAAATGAACAGAAATCAGTTTATTCTTGCAGAAATATCAGAAAACAATTTCCTAGGGTTTTATTTCAATGTATTTAAAATGAACATTTTAAACAACCAAGGTTTACTATTAATGTATTAATGAAAGATTACTGCTGCCATCTGGTGGGAATATATTTCTTTTCTTTAGTAGAGACGGGGTTTCACCATGTTGACCAGGATGGTCTCAATGTTTTGACCTAGTGATCCACCTGCCTCGGCCTTCCAAAGTGCTGCGATTATAGGCGTGAGCCACCACGCCCAGCCTGTGAGAATTTATTCCAAGAGATAGGGGAGTAAGTTTTCTAGCTCTGTGGTTCTCAAACGTTTGTAATAACAGAGCACTTAAAAACATGCCCCACCCCCCCCAGGACTGGTCTTATCCCAGAACCAATTAAACCAGAATCCATAAAAGGTAGAAGGATTGACTTCTTTTTGCTTTGGTTTTTTTGGGAAGCTCCTCAAGTGATCTTAACAGAGTTGAAACCATTTGACTGCTCCGGATCTACTTCCTCCCTGTCCAGCCCATCTCTTCCATCAACTTTACAATCCAAAGTCAATGAGAAATAGGCTGGGCAGGTGGCTTACACCTGTAATCCCAGAACTTTGGGAGGCCGAGGTGGGTGGATCATTTGAGGTCCGGAATTCAAGACTAGCCTGGCCAACAGGTTTGGTGAAACCTTGTCCCTACCAAAAATTAAAAAAAATTAGCTGTGTGTGGTGGCAGGTGCCTGTAATCCTAGCTGGCAGGAGGATGGTTTGTACCTGGGAGGTGGAGGTTGCAGTGAGCCAAGATTGAGCCACTGTACTCTAGCCTGGGAAATGGAGTGAGACTCCATCTCAAACAATAAACAAACAACAACAAAAACACAAAGTCAATGGGAAATGTTAATAAGAAGAAAATATTTATTTATATGTATGCATACATATAAAAGAATCTTTTATCCTTATTGTTTTATATATAGCTATATACATTTCCAAGATATATATATACACATATATATAAAGATACATATATATATGTAAAGATACATATACATATCTATATATCTCATATCTGTGAAAGAGTAAAATTTTCTGGGGTAGAGAAATGCTGTTTAAGAGCCTGGGAAAAAAAATTCTTTGAGGCTTACTCCTTATGGCAGAATTTGAGATGTCGCTTTATTCTTCCAACTCTCATCCCATACCCTCCTCCTCTCTCCCACAAAGGTAGCTGAAAGGAGTATGGAGGCAGCATGGCCTCCTAAGTGTGTGCCCTGGGATTAAACTAACCTAAACTCACGTTGCAGTCTGGTTGCTTACTAACTCTGGAACTCCCAACAAACTTATTTAAATTTACTAAGCTTTTGCTTCCTCGTGAAATAGGAATATCAAAGACGCTGACTTCATAGGGTTACTGAAAGCATATAATGAACTACTAAATGTAAAGAACTCATGACCAGTCAGGTGGTTTTCTTTTTCCAGGTTCTAGCATTTTAGAATGTTTGAGTTTACTAAATTTTGATCTCTTTGATACATGATTACACGATAATAATAATAATAAAGCCAGTATATTACAGGAATAATGGCTACTAAACTCCTAGGTATTTAAAAGTAAAAGCCCTTTTCTGAAGAGCCGTTTTATATTTTATATGTATATTTTATAATATGTATATATTTTATATATACATATGTGTGTGTGTGTATATATATATATATATATATATAAAATCATCTCACAAATTAAACTCTAATACAATATGTTAACTGCACCAAATTTGCTAAGAAGCATCCAAATCATTCAACATAGCATAGCACAACATAATAGAGTTCTCCAACCTCTGCTATCCCCACAAAGCTAGGTAAACTGAGCAGTAGGCGAGGCAAGTGGCAAATCTGTGCAGTTTTTTTTTTCCTTTGAGACGGAGTCTTGCTCTGTCATCCAGGCTGGAGTGCAATGGTGCTGTCTTGGCTCACTGCAACCTCCACCTCTTGGGTTCAAGTGATTCTCCTGCCTCAGCCTCCCGAGTAGCTGGGATTACACGCACCTGCCACCACACCTGGCTAATTTTTGTATTTTTAGTAGAGACAGGTTTCACCATGCTGGCCGGGTTGTTCTCAAACTCCTGACCTTGTGATCCGCCCAGCCCATCTTGGCCTCCCAAAGTGCTGGGATTACAGGCATGAGCCACTGTGCTAAGCCTGGTGTGGTTTTAAGGTATGAACAAACAGACTTAAGATCAAGCCCCAAATGCTACTTAATAAATGTGTGACCCTGGACAAATTACTTAATGTTCTAAACATTGCTAATAAAGGAATATTTTTCTGTTTTCATTCCAAGACAGTTAAAGGAACTTAACGAGAAAAATCTAGGAAAACTGCCTAATGTAGAGATACCCTCTCTCTACGTATTTTAAGCAGAAATAACTTGAGTGAACTTTTAAAAACGTTAATCACCACGGATTTTAAAATTCCAGAATTCAAGTACTTGAGTAATAAGATATATTATACAAATGGTAGAGACAATCAAAAGGGTTTTAAAAAAGAATGTAGCACAGTCGACCCACCTCCCATTATGAGCCAGACTGCTCAAGTTTCATTCAGACCACTTACCAGCATGGAAACTACCCCCATACTTACAATGGCCTCTGCTTCTTCTTTAGGAGCAGCTCGCTTTAACTTCACTGGAGTAGTTCCAACAGGGGACAATGGTGGCGACTTCACAGAGCCTGAAGGACTTTTCCTGTGCGTTAAGTCATGGTTCTGTTTAGTGTCATTATTATTGTGTTCCGTTTTATTGTTCATAGGCAAATTGGAAGACACAATTAGGGGTGAAACACTCGAAGAGGAATTTGATAATTTTCTAAAGGCATTACTGGTAAAGCTTGCCTGAGGGGGAGGCTTGAGTCGATCATTATCTCCATTCTCTGTCTTTTTCACTTTTATGCTTGTACTTGTTGAACTTCCATCAAATACAATGAGGGGTCTTTTCCTTAACCCGTCTACAGCGCTATTCCTGAAATCAAAGAGATGTGCTCTTGAAAAATACCATCTGGAATGGCAAACCAGTTCACTGGAATTCAAGTTCAAATAAACAATAACCAAGAAGATTTATTGATAAGACTAATCTTTTCTAAGTGGGACTATTAGAAATTAAATTTTCTATGTTCACCTTAAATGAAAGAATTCCCTAGTGTTTTATTTCAAAGTTTAAAACATTTACGTACAAGAAATTCAAAGTTAGCTTTAATGTATACACAAGATACAGCTATTTTTAAAACATCAATTAACCATCTAGTCCTGGAACTTAAAATGAGATTTCCTAGTTAAAAAACAAACACCAGCTTATTGACAGGGTTATCTTAACCATGTAATCAGTTATTATTTAAAAAGGATAAAAAACTATAAAACTATACCAAGACTACCACAGTGGTAATCTACAAATGAGGCACAGCATTCTGTGCTATTCCATTTACTAAAGGTCTCTAAAGCCAAGACATTTTCTAAACTAACTGTAACTATGATATTTGTGCAAGTTTAACTGTGAACTCTGGCAAGTATCTTCATATTTACCTTCTGGAAATCTAACTTCCACTCTTTACCGTAAAGGTTAACAATGAAAGCATTCATTTGCTTATTACTCATCATACCTCAAGCTATCTAACAGATTAACTGAAAACAAACAAACAAAAACCCTTTTTTTTTTAGACAGAGTTGCATTCTTGTAGCCCAGGCTTGTGTACAATGGCTCAATCTTGGCTCACTGTAACCTCCACCTCCTGGGTTCAAGCAATTCTCCTGCCTCAGCCTCCTGAGTAACTGGGATTATAGGTGCACGCCACCAGGCAGGCAAATTTTTGTATTTTTAGTAGAGACATGTTTTCACCATGTTTGCCAGGCTAGTCTTGAACTCCTGACCTCAGGTTATCCACCTGCCTCGGCCTCCCAACATGCTGGGATTACAGGCAAGAGCCACTGTGCCTGCATTAACAACAACAACAACAAAAAAACCTTTTAATTAAACATGTTAAAAAAAACTTGAGGTAGCCAGTTATTAGGAAGAACATTTCAGCCCTGCTACTACTCAGTGTGATCTAGGGACCAGCAGCACAACATCATCATCATCTTGGGACTTTGTAAGAAATGGAGAATCTGGGGCATCAACCTGAACTATGCATCAGAACCCATATTTTAACCAAATTCCTACACAGTTGGCCAAACTCAAAAATTCTTGGATCATCAATGAACACCATTTGGTAGAAAATGAAAAGTAAGGTCACTGTATACCCACTGTAGAAGGGAAACAGAGGGACTGAGAGCGGGGCTGGACAGCTTGTTTCATCTAAGATTCAAGAGGCACATTAAAGTTTGAGAAGCACCAGGCTATGTTGCTATGGACCTAGTCCTAGGTCTGTGTGACCTTGGGCACGTTATAGAACTTCTCAGGATCTCAGTTCCTCCACAGATAAAATAATAAGCAGTTAAACAATACAAAATGATCTCTTGGATCCTTCCAGTTTTAATGCTCTGAATCAACTGTGAATTTAAAAAACAGAGTCAAAAAGCCTTTCTGAAATGATTTTGAGGGACTAATCAAGACGGATGTAAGATGATTGCTTCAAAGGAAAGAAAAACCAGCACAGAAAGTTTTGCTTATAAGAACAATATGCTTGAACGTGCTGATTAAGAGGAAAATACTGCCTGAATAACAGCAAAAGTAAATTAAAAGGCATATGCAATGTAATCCATATTTATGAGAGTTAACACCAATACATAGTCTGTACTAGTAAGCAAAAGTAACCATCGAGCTAAAATGATGGTCAATCTGAAATGCGTCCTTGATCAAAGGTCAGACTTTATTTTCCAAAAGATAAGGAGCAGACATGTATTCTTTGACTATCCTTCATACTTGAAGAATAATCTCAATCATAAGTTTTCTTTGTAAAACAGATTAAAACCCAGAGGAACACACTTCCCCTTACCCCCACCCTCCTACTCTGTCTTCTCCCACTGTCTCTAGTAAACTGCCTGTGACAGTGCCTTACAGACAGAAGGCTCCTTCCCCTCCCCACACACCTTAAAAAAATTAATTGATCAACAGTATCCACTTTAGATATAATAAACAACAGAAGAAATAACTAGTTCACTTAAGGATCTTAGGACATTCTGTACTTATTAATCAATCAACAACACTGATTAATCAAATATAACTTTCTTTAAAAAAGAAAATTCACTTGCTTGTGGTTTTATAAAAAATATTTTGAAATTAAAAAATTTTAAATAGCATAACTCAAGCTAGTTAACAGGCCCTTCATTTGTGTATTATCAAAGACATTAGAGTTTTTTTACCTGACTTGACTTTTTTCTCAAAATTCAGGAAATCCTATTGGCTCTACCTACAAAATACATGTAGGACTCCAGCCTACCAAATTTACTATAGTCAAAGCTGCTGCCATCTATTGCCTGGACTACCAGTACAGCCTTCTAATTTGTTTCCTTGCTTCCACCCTTATACATGCCCCTTCCCCTCCCCACACACCTTAAATCACTTCTTAGGACAGCAGCCAGAGTCATCCTGTCAAAATGTACATCTAATGACATCACCACTCTGCTCAAAATCCTCTAGTGGTTTCTTATCTCAGAGTAAACCAAAGCCCTTACAATGACTTATAAAGGTTTCCACAATCTGACAATCTCTTCTGTTCACCCCCAATATAACTCGTTCCTCCTGCAGCCCTGATGGCCGTTTTGTTATTCCTGGTATATGATGGGCACATTCCTGATCCAGCCTCTTGTATTCTGGCCCAGAGTGTTAGCTTGTTCTCTTATTTCTTACAGGTCTCTTTACTAAATGGTCATTTCTCACTATGATTGTTCCTGGATAATTGATCAAAAATTGTAATCTTTTTCTCTGGCCTTTACTACTTACTAACAATACTCTTATATAGTAACTCTGTTATTATGTTTCTCCTGACAAAAATATGAGCGGGGAATTTTGTCAGTTTTATTTACTGCTATACACATAGTGGCTGGTGCTCAAAAGATAATTATTGAGTACATAGCTTTTTTTTACTTAAGTTTACCTCAGGAAAAATTAATAACTGTTTAGTCATAAGATAAACTGAAAGCTAGAACCACCAAAAAGTACCTTTTAGTCTCATTTTTAATCTCATGGTGTTCTCTTTTCTTTTCCATCATTTTCCCCCATCTATTCTTCGGCAAATCCCTCTGAGGCAATGGTATTGCGTGCTGGACATAAATGTCGGTAAGACTGTCTTTGTTTATTCTTGCATCAGTTTCAACAGCTATGTTCTTCTGTGGGGGGGGGAAGTAATTTCAAAACAACATTCTTAATTTTAATAACTAACCATCTTACCTAACATGGTGAAACATTACTGCTTAAATCACAAATTAATTAAAAAACCATTTTCACAATAACGCGAATACTTAGAGGCAGTTATGTTATAGGCTACATTCTGTAAATATTAGGTACAGCCCATCTTAAAGACAATGGTCACATTTTCTCAGTGTGACAAGGGCTGCTATCCACAATTGCTCAGCCAACATACCAAGCATGAAAGATCATTTCCAGTAATATCACCTTAATATACAAGGGGATTTAAAATAGGGGACTGCCCGGGGAAAAACAGACAAAAGAAAGTGAACAATGACTAACAATCACCACATTCTGTCAATAAGCTACCTTGAGTGTGGTTATCATGATCAGATTAGTGGGATAGAGGTCTCAGTCTTGTCTTATATTTCTCATGCTTCTCTAATGTAGTACTTCCTAAACTGAAGTTAACGACAAAGATTTCAAGTAACACCACAGATGGAAACTGTTATCCCTGTGGTGATGATGGTAACAGTACATCATTAGAAAAGCCTGCACCCCATTTTCACTGGTTCTTTCAAGTACGCTTCCAGTCACCATCCAACCACCTCTATCTAAATCACCTCATTCTTCCTTATTTTCCAATTTGTTCTTGACATCACGAAAAACATATAGCATAAACACAGGAGTGTCATGAAGACAGAGTTTGGATTTAAGAAGGAAAAGTGAGAATGGTAATGAGATCACAGGCTCTTCAATTTCAACTGAGAAAGGCTTGAAAACATTTGTGTTTGGAGCAACTGACAAACCTATATCCTCTAACAAAATCTAACAAAAGCACATTTTACTTCCCTTTCATATATTGGACTAATTTATTTTCACCCTGTCCTCACTCAGAGATAGGGGAAACTCCCAGGATTCCCTTGGACAACATGCCCAGAGAATTCATAGGCCCGTTACTTTGGGAAATATTGCCTTAGCCAAATTTCAGGCCACATTCCGTAACTACTGAACAAAAAACTGGGGACAGAGCCCAACAATCTGTGTTTTAGCAAGCCCTCGACTGGTTCTTAAGTACATGAAAAGTTTGAGAACCACAGGTAAAAACTTACTGACATAATTAAAATAAGCTCTACTTGGCAAGAGGACTTGAAATTCAAGAAAGATAGGGTATCAAGGGGAAAACCATATGGAAAACAACAAAATAGACTACATAAACCCCAATGAAACTTTCAGTAATTTTCTATCACTTAAAACATCAAGTTTTTCCTTTCTCATTTTTCGCCTACTATCAGAGGCCACACAGGCTGGAAAAGAGCAAGCGCTACATGAAGAGTCAGGAGCCCTCAATTCTCCTCCTGGCAGTACCATTTACAGATGTTGTGACCTTAAAGAAGTCACCTCATCTCTTTGAACTGTTTTATCATCTTTAAACGGTGAGAGAGGGTGTGGAAAGGACAGTTTCTCAGCCATTTTCCAGCCCTGACAGTCCATGATTTCTACCTTCCCTGCCTATTCTACGCGTCTTCCCCACTTCCTTTCTTCCTCAGGTTGGTGCTTACACGCAGGCCTATTTCCCAAGCATTCCTGATATTCTACGGGAATATCAGGAATGCCCTATTTTTTCGGACAGGCGGGATGCGAGGGAACAGCTGGCTGGTCTGTATAGGTGGAGAGTGGCACAAACCCGGCGGGAGTGTCCGCAGTTACCCAAAGCTACTTAAGGAGAGCTCAGATGCAAGCGCCTCATCAGGGAAGGCCCACCCGTCCGCCCGCCCTCCACTCCCGCGCGCCCAACCTGCTCCAGAGTGAGGAGAAGGAACTCCTGGGACAGCAGCTCGGGGTGCAGCAGCAGTTCCGAGTCCGTGCAGCTGCGACCGCCCACATCCCCCGCCATCGTCGTCGCCAGGAGACCCCGGTCGACTACCCACAAAGCCCCGCGAGGAAAGCGTTCCGGAAGTGACGTACTCTGGCAGGGACTCAAGTGTGTCGTCACTCTGAGTGCACCGCACGTCGGCCTGTTTCTCTTGCTGCTGGATCCGGCGTTGGCGCCTGGTCCTGCTTGCAAAAATCTCCCAGGAACCAGAGAAGAGAGGGGGATGTCAGACGTAGAAACACATGGCGTGTCAAGTTTGCAGGAAGAGAAAGAGCGAAGTTCCGGGAGCCGGCCACGATTGGTCGCGCCTTCTATGACGTCAAACGTCAGAGGCCAAAGGGATTCCTGGGGCAGCCTCGAGGGAATGAATTATGGCGCGGAGGGCTGGTATACATTACTCTAAATATGGCAGTGGTTGTGTCCGAAGTTATCGTCTTTTTCTTTGTTTAACCTGTTTCTTTTCTCTTCAGCGCCCTCTGTATAATGTAAGACCGAGGCTTTATTTAGTGAATTCCCTCTAACCCCGGCGCCTTGGACAAATAGGTATTTAAGTATTTGTTTCCTGAAAAAATACTCTGAATTAATCTACTCACATGTAAAAATAATAACTGGCTGAGAAACGCCAGTAATGACCGCCAAACGTTTGTTAGCCATTTACAGTGTGCCAGAGACTGCATTTTACGTGTATTATCACATTCCTCAGAACAGGCTAATGAGGTATATATTAATAGAATGCCTATTTTTCAGATGAGGAAACTGAGGTATAGAAAGGATAATTTACTCAAGAGTGAGGAAGTAGCAAGCGAAAATCCAAATCTTCTGCATGTAGTAATAGCTACAGTGAAGTAACTTTAAATCAATGTAAGTATCAATTACAATGTAATTCCCAGGAATTAATTTACTAACAAATTTTCTGCTTCTCTTTCATCATTCATGGGAGAGATATATACCCCTAAATATTTTGCACATTTAACACTTAAACTTGCTGGGCGTGGTGGCTTATGCTTTGTAATCCCAGCGTTTTGGGAGGCTGTGGAAGGATTGCTTGAGGCCAGGAGTTCCAGGTCAGCCTGGGCAACATAGTAAGACCCCGTATCTACAAAAAAAAATTTTTTTTTAATTAACCAGGCACGGTGGTGCTTCTGTAGTACTAGCAACTCGGGAGGTTGAGGTGGTAGGATCACTGATGCCCAGCAATTCCACCCTGCAGGGAGATAGGATCACCACACTGCACTTCAGGGTGGGCGACAGAGTGGGACCATGTGTGAAAAAATAAATAAAAATAAAACTTGCAGATAGGTTCTGAATGTTTATTGTGTGCATCCTCTATGACGTATCATTTTATTGGAGATATTGCATTGTCTACAAAAATATGAAGAACTCTGAGGATGCCAAAAGATAAACCTGGAAAGAGGACTGGAAGTGATATCCGCAAAATAAAAAGAAGCTGAGAAGTGTTTTGCAATTTTTCTTAACCATTTATGTATGTAATATTTTATGTCTAGAAACTGAATTTCAGATCTGAGAGGAAACTTAAAAGTTTCTCAGTCTAGTTCTTACGTGTTAGTGCCAAGAAAGCTGTTCAGAAAGAGATTACATGACTTGCTCAAAATTGAGCAGTCCTAAATCTGGGCCAAGGCAGGCATCCGAGTGTCTTAAATTGGAGTTAAATGTGTTAACGTCATGGTATTAACATCATGATATTCCGTATCTCAAATCTGATTTTATTTTCATTACAGTAGTGAAATAAGCGTGATTAGTTATTATCCCCATTTCCTTCCCTGGGAGGCACATTGTTTCAGTATCAAAAACAACTACCTTGGAAGAATCCTGGGCTAGAAACCTGGCCTCATTTCAAGTTTTACTCTGTTGCACTGAGACCTTGGGTGAGTTACTCAGTTTCTCAGCCTCAGTCCCCTCATCAGGAAAATGTGGTGTTAACACTTTCTGTGACAAATGATGAAAAGAGTGGAGATTACAGAGATTATAAACACACTTGGCACAGAGTAAGTTTAAGAACTGGCAGCTGGGGCCGGGCGCGGTGGCTCAAGCCTGTAATCCCAGCACTTTGGGAGGCCGAGGCGGGTGGATCACGAGGTCAACAGATCGAGACCATCCTGGTCAACATGGTGAAACCCCGTCTCTACTAAAAATTACAAAAAATTAGCTGGGCACGGTGGCACGTGCCTGTAATCCCAGCTACTCAGGAGGCTGAGGCAGGAGAATTGCCTGAACCCAGGAGGCGGAGGTTGCGGTGAGCCGAGACTGCGCTATTGCACTCCAGCCTGGGTAACAAAAGCGAAACTCCGTCTCAAAAAAAAAAAAAAGAACTGGCAGCTGGTTTTTATAAAGTTAATGGTCATAGAAGAGAGGAAAGGGCAGGCTTTGGAGCGACTCAGAGTTGGATTATAACCTTGGCTTCTTTAATCACCTAGGACATATACTCTCCAGCTGTAGCTTCCTTCCCTCTGAGATGGAAATTATAAGCCATCTTGCAGCGTTTTGAGGATTGAAGTTAGTGTATAAAATGCCACTTCTGTTGACTCTCCTTGGAGATTTCTTGTATCCTATTGATTGTCATCAAAGGAAAGAAGTGACAGGATGATGGCATCAGAGGGAAGAATCTTGAGTTTAATAGTCTGAAAAGTGGTTACAGGTTATTGCTGTGCTTTTTCTCTCTGTGGGTTTCTGAACCCATCTCCTAACCTGAAGCCTCAGACTTCGTCTGCTGAAATGTTTTGTGCCAGGTAAGATATCTTTTTTTTCTCCTAGTACTTCCCAGTTTAAGAGTACTTCCTTGGTTAAAACTAATTCTATTAATATTATTCTAGGTGCCTGTAGAGCAGAACTCTTGAGATAGAAGGAGTGTTGTCTGAGGAAAAAAAAAAAAAATCACGATTAGGAGAGGAGGAACTTGAAAGATTTACATACCCTCTCTCTTCCAAGCGTGGAGAGAATGTTTGGTGATGCTGCCCACTCCTTCCTGGGCAGACCCTTTGTGGCATGGAACACTGGAGAATTTGCAGTCTGCTAACTGTTTCTGATTTAGGAGGTTTGTGGGGAGGCCTTTTAATTTGCATTTCTAACAAGTTCTGAGGTGATGCTTCAAATATGTCCAGGCAGAAGGGCTGCCTCACAGAGATTTCTGCCATACCACATGGGAATTGAATTCACAGGTATCTCTAACCCTCGAGCCTGAAACCAAAAGACTGAAAACCAAACACTATAGTGGACAAAGAACATCTCAGAATTTCTGTGGAGACCAGTGACACAAGGACTTAAGGTCTCTCTTCTCATCTTGGCGTTTCAGAAATCTCCGGAGTCTGGATATAGCACTGGGGAAAGGGGTGGGGCCTCCCGCTGATAAGATTTTCACTGCAGTTAAATGGAGGTTCCAAATTGAAAGAAAGGAGGAGGGCCTCCCATTGATAAGATTACTGTCACTGTAGGTAAATGGAGGCTTCAAATAGAAATAAGTTTCAGTTACAGAAAAGAAAATATCTTTGTTACACATTTGAGTTTGCAGACCTAAGATTCCTCCTGCTATACTATCATCTGTAACCCTAAGGCACTCAACATTTTAAGCTAACTATAAGGATTTTCACTTCACTCACAGATCCTAAGGTTTTATTCACTAACATTTTTATTTGGTGACTATAGTTGACAAGAACAAAGCTGTGGGGAACCAACAAACACTGCCGTGCCTGGCATTGCCACCTCACTAGATTGTGAGTTCCTCTGGGACAGGTTCCATACATTTCCTTCTAATCCCTCACTTAGCCATTAGCATGCACAGTGCTTATATTTAGTAGGTGCTCAGTAAATGTTTGTGGAATGAATGCATGATGAACAAAATCTATACTGAGGACTCTGGGGTTGATTCTTGTTGATAATGTAATATTGATAGATATTTATGTTATAAATATGTTACAAATATTGTGTCAAAAATATACTTGAGCAGGCTGGGTGCAGTGGCTCGTGCTTGTAATCCCAGCATTTGAGAGGTTGAGGCGGGTGGGTCACTTGAAGTCAGGAGTTCGAGACTAGCCTGGCCAACATGGTAAAATCCTACCTCCACAAAAATTAGCTGGGTGTGGTGATGGGTGCCAGTAATTCCATCTATTTGGGAGGCTGAGGCAGGAGAATCACTTGAACTTGGGAGGTGGAGGTTGCAGTGAGCTGAGATCGTGCCATTGCACTCCAGCCTGGGCAACAAAGCAAGACTCCATCTCAAATAAATAAAGATAATCTAGGCCAGATGTGGTTGCTCATGCCTGTAATCCCAGCACCTTGGGAAGCCAGTTGGGTGGATCACTTGAGGTCAGGAGTTCAAGAACAGCCTGGCCAACATCTGTTTCTACTAAAAATACAAAAATTAGCCGAGCATGGTGCTACATGCCTGTAGTCAAATCCCCAGGAGGCTGAGGAAGAAGAATTGCTTGAACTTGGGAGGTGGAGGTTGCAGTGAGTTGAGATTGCACCACTGCACTCCAGCTTGGGCTACAGAGACTATGTCTCAAAAAAAAAAAAAAAAAAATCTAGCTAATCAGTATTTCAATATTGAGCATCAAGAATTTTTAAAAATTGGTTGAATGTTTTCTACATGCAGAAAGATAGAGCAGAGAGCATAGACACAATCTTTGCCCTCCAGAACTATACCCAGTGAGAAAGTGAGGAGCACAGAGTATGCGTAAGTGTAAAGATTAAGTTTTGAGAGTAGACAGCAACTATGAAAACATAGTTATAGCTGTGCAACTCAGTCTTCATTAATAATTCTCATTGGAACACATCTTTTTCACATTCTACAAAATACTCAACGTGGCTGGGCGCAGTGGCTCACGCCCGTAATCCCAATACTTTGGGAGGCGGAGGCGGGCAGATCACTTGAGGTTGGGAGTTTAATACCAGCCTGTCCAACATGGAGAAACCCTGTCTCTAGTAAAATCACAAAATTAGCCAGGCACGGTGGCACATGCCTGTAATCCCAGCAACTCGGGAGGCTGAGGCAGGAGAATTGCTTGAACCCCGGAGGCAGAGGTTGCAGTGAGCTGAGATTGTGCCATTGCACTCCAGCCTGGGCAACCAGAGCGAAACTCCATCTCAAAAACAAAAAAAACCCTCAACACTTGGTATGGACCCAAGGAATATTTAATACATATTAAAAAATGAAGTTAATAATTGCTTTGAAAGCCATATGACTGATATTTCTTCTTAACTGTAACCAATAGAAACAACATAAGGAATTTGGCCTATGTGCATGTTTGCAGGTTTATGGTACAGGCATTTACATAGAGGTACCTGTCATGTGTGACACAGACTTCTCAGCAAGTTTCAGAAGGAACAGCTGTTTCTAGATGGAATAATATGGAGCATACCATTGTAAGAATCCTGTGATAAATCCTTTTATAAATATTTCTGAATGATCCCTTTTGTTACACATTTTAACTCCTGAATCATCTAAAGTAGAATGCAAAAATTATTCATAAACCATTCATTCAAGACAGCTTTATATGAAAGAATAACTTGCTGAATTCTGTATTCTTACTGCTCTTTCTTATGGGGTTTGGGACAAGTCATTCACCTTTTAAATTTTTTTAATTTATATTTTCCTAAGTAATTTACCTTTCTTTGCCTCAATCAACTCATCTGTAAAATGGTAAATTAATAGCGTCGACTTCATTGCTCAGTCACTAGCAGTTTCTGAAGTCAGTGTCTGGCAGTCAGTAGATACCACCTCTGTAACTAGTCTCGTGCAGCTCTCTGTAATATGATCTGGTGGAGGACTAAAATACAAAAGCACAAGGGTGAATTCTAGGCTCAGCTGAGCCAGTGATTAGTTGATGACAAGTCACATAGTCTCTGTGACCCTGGGTAAAATGAGGAGACTGGATTTGCTCTTGTACCTTCCCAATATTTGGCTCCACTAGCTGTTGGCCACCTTAGACTTGAGGGTCCATTCACTGCTGCTTGCCCTTGAAGCTCAATTGCTGGTCAGATCTTAACACTCCTGGGAAGACCTGGAGACTGAGCCAGTGACACTGGTTCCATTGGGTAAGAGCTGAAGCACCACTGGGGATGGGGCATTTATGTTGCCATGAATCACACTAGGGTAGGGGTGGGGGACAGGTCACAGGAAGATTGTTGATGGTCCTTTTTCTTTTTAATACTTTGAAAAGGAAGACCATGGAGTGGAATCTAGTATCTGCCTTCAGGCTTGGGATAACATCTTTGTTTTACAATAGGCAGCTTGGCTGGAAGAAAGCTGAGGTCACTGGTCACTGGCAGGTCCTAAAGTATGAAAATCACTGGGAAAACCTGACTTTCTATATGCCAATAATTGAGTACTGACAACTCTGGAGGGAGCTTTCCAATTCCTTCATCATGAAATCGGACTTTGAATATATATTGAAGAGGAGTTCATGGATTCATGGTAACCTACAATTCTTCATTGCGGCCTGACCCAAAGGAAGCTACAATTGGGTTTTCCTAAAAGGAGGAAGATAGTCCTAGGCTTCCCTTATCAAATAAGTGTATCACGCAGGTGGCCTCCGCCTGTCAGGGGTCCCAGTCATGGGGCGCCTCGGGAGAGGACTTCGCATCCCAACCGTTCCTTCAGCTCCTGGTGGGGCACCGGCGGCGAGTCCAAGCCTCCATCCTGCGTGGTCAGGTGGCAGCGGGCCTAAGCATTTCCCAGGATTCATTCATTCAGTCTTCATTCAGCAGGTATTTCCGGAGCGCCCTCCTCCTGTGTTGGGGTCAGAAACTGGGTGGCGAGCGAGCCAGGCAAAGCCCGGCTTCCCTGGCGCTCCCCGCGGCGGCGGGGGCGCAAGGGACCTCGGCTCCCACAGCTGGAGCGAACAGCGCGCTCGCCCGGGGGCGGCGGCCTCAGCGCCCCCCGAATGAACACCTCCCGCCCTCCGGCCGCCGCGCGAGGCGGGCCGTGTCGTGGCCCCGGTACACGGAGGGAGACGCCGAGGCCCGGAGTAAGGCCCGACTTGGCCTGCGCGTGGAGCCTGGCGGCAGGGCCAGCGGGCCGGCGGGCGGCGCGAGGACGGCTGCGCTCCCGCCCTCCGCCAGCGCCTGGCGGCCGCCCCACGTGACGGGAAGCGGCGGCTGCGGGGCCAGGCCAGCCCAGGAGCCGCGGGCCGGAGTGGGGCGGCGGGGCCCCAGGCCGCGGGGCGGCGCGGGACGGCGGGCGCCGGCGCCGGTGAGTGCGGAGGGCGACGAGGCGCTGGGTTCGGGGCGTGGGGCAGGAGGGCGGGGGGCAGGCGGCGGGGCGGGGTGGAGGGCGAGCCCGTGTGTGTGCGCTGGGGCAGGTGTAGTGGGGGCTGGAACGCGGCGCGGGGGGAGCAAGTGGCTGTACACTTGGGGGCAGGTGTGCAGGTGTGTAACTTGGTAGGTGTCCCTTGGGGCTGGCTATCCTGCTGGGGTGAGCAAGTAAGTGTTCACGTGTGTGTGGGATGCGGTGTGCACGGGTGCGGGGTCAGCAAGTGTGTATGTTGTGTGTGAGGAGTGCGTGTGTGTTTAGGGCAAGGGAAGACCCAAGAGACCTCGTCCTTGATTGGGTTTTCCGAGAAGGGCCAGGAAGGTATGGCACCTCCACCCCTTGTATGGAATAGTGTTGGCGCTGTGATTGAGGTTTCTCAGAGCTCTTTGTATTTGAGAACTCAAATTCGGGTCACACTTGGGCCTGAATTGTCCTGAACGGGGGGAGAGTAGGCAGGGGCGTGTTGGGGAGCAGGGAAGAGGGCTGTGCTGGGCTTCCTGGCCCCTGTTTTTAGCACCAGGTCAAGGGCTGGAAGCTGTCATCCCCGTGGAATTTTTTTTCTTTCCATTGCCTCCCGGAGGTGCAGGTGTAAGTTAGTCCGCCCGCCTCCCTGTGTTACAAGTGCTGATATCTTTAAACACGGAAGCTGTCCAGTTGTCTGCACCTGCCGTGGCTTCCATGCAAGGGCTGCTGAGTGACCCTTAGGAAGCCTCCTACCTGGCTGCTAAAAATGGGGACTCATAGATCATGTAGCAGCTGTAGTCAAAACATGTCTGAGCATAGTTTAATCATTGATGAAGTGCTCATGGGCAAGCACCTTGTCTATCAGAAAGGCAGGCAGCTGTAGATGTGATTGTGATGGCAAGTTAAGGCACTGATAAGGTATGCAGGGAAGATCCTACTGCAGTGTGTGTTGGCTTGCCTGGAGTCAGGACGAATGAGTGTAGAGGGGCTGTGTGGTGGCTGCTACTCTCTCATTGTAGATATGCTTCTCTCTGTTGGTCAGCCGGAAGCTGGCAGACAACTGAGAGCTTGCAGCTCCATGGTCAGTCGGAAGGAACATTTGGTCAGCTGCTTCCTTTTCTTTTTCCTTCCATTTCTGCCAGCCAAGCAACCTCAACAGTCATTGCAGCTGCTTCTGTGATGTGTAGCAAAAGGCTGCCTGGGGTACTAGAAAGTCCACTGGCTGGAATCTGCTGGAACCTGTCCACAACTGGCCTGCCCCAGGTCATCTATGAAATGGGAGTGGTGCTCTGTGTTGGTAATGAATGTGGAGTGTGGGTTCAAATCCTGCCTCTGCCACTTCCTGTGACCCTTGGGCAATTTGTTGGACATTCTGAGTCTCAGGTTCTTCCATCAAAATAGGGATAATATTAGAAAAGGCACATGGATTCTAATAAGAAATTGTGCCTGGAAAGGATCCAGCACGGGGCCTGGCACTTAGTAGGTGTCCAATACATTATTGTTGACAAATATAAATGCGGGTGTAGAGCCAGGTCTCACTCAGCTCTGAAAATGTGTAGTTTTGGGCCGGGTGCGGTGGCTCAAGCCTGTAATCCCAGCACTTTGGGAGGCCGAGGCGGGTGGATCACGAGGTCAACAGATCGAGACCATCCTGGTCAACATGGTGAAACCCCGTCTCTACTAAAAATTACAAAAAATTAGCTGGGCACGGTGGTGCGTGCCTGTAATCCCAGCTACTCAGGAGGCTGAGGCAGGAGAATTGCCTGAACCCAGGGGGCGGAGGTTGCGGTGAGCCGAGATTGCGCCATTGCACTCCAGCCTGGGTAACAAGAGCGAAACTCCGTCTCAAAAAAAAAAAAAAAAAAAAAAAAGAAAATGTGTAGTTTTATGTTTTGAGTAATTGTTAACAAATGCTATATTTACTCTGGAGTTAGACTTGTGGATTCTGAATTCCAGTTTGCTGTGTACATCAAGGTATGCGCTATACAGTTGAACTGGGTGAGAGGTGAGGTGCCACTCTTAGCCTTCATTCACTCTGCCTTTTCTTCTCCACTCATGATTGTGCATGGCAGTCCCCTTGTTGTAGCATTGGAGGCACAACTTTTTCACCACTGCAGGAATCCCAGGACCAATCTAGCCTCAGTTTAAACCCTCCAGAGACAGAGATTTGTAAAGGGCCCACTTTTCATTTAGGCAGCTCCCGTTGAGGAGTTTTAAAAGCATAGAGCTCACTATTTTAAAAAAAAGCTATGTTTTCTTTCTTTTGTTGTCTTTTGGGTGGTTTTTTGGCTGTTGTTTTTGGGACAGGGCCTCATCTGTCACCCAGGCTAGAGTGGCTTGGACCACAGGCTTGCACTACCACAACCAGATACTTTTTGAATTTTTTGTAGAGCTAGGGGTCTCCCTATGTTGCCCAGACTGTTCTGAAACTCCTGGCCCCAGGCAGTCCTCCTGTCTTGGCCTCCCAAAGTGCTGGGATTACAGACCTGAGCCACCGCTCCAGCCAAAAAAATTGCTGTATTTTCTGGGTCTGATCTGCAGCTAACATTTCTGTTAGGGGGAAAAATGAAGTTATTTGGCTTATTTCTTCATATTAATATTACAATTTGTGATCTTTTAAGAAAATTCGAAGAAATTTTATTTAATGGGTTAAGTGTCTTCATCTTGGTCTGAATCCAGTCCTCATTAGAAATACATTAATCATTTGTGGGGACCAGGTGTTTGGATACTGCCAAATAATTTGGTTCAGACTTTACAACTCATCTCTATAGCAAACCTGACTCGTTTTTCTTTATTAAAAAAAAATGCATACCTACTAAATGAATCTAGAATAACAACTTAATTTGGTGCTACCCCAAATGACTTTAAGAGCTTCATGAAAAGTGAATTATGAAATTTTGCAGATGATTTGAAATCAAGACCTTTTCTTAATAGTCAAGTAGCTACCGTTGAGAAAGTTAAAGATTTAAGAACAAATCATGTATTTAAAGATGACAACTGAGTAGATATTGTGGGCTACCAAGTCCTGTAGGTACTCAATTCTTTTTTTTTTTTTGAGACAGGGTCTCACCGCGTCACCCAGGCTAGAGTGCAGTGGTGCTGTGTTCTTGGCTCACTGCGACCTCTACCTTCCAGGCTTAAGTGATCCTTCCACCTTAGCCTCCCAAGTATTTGGGGGCTACAGGTGCAGGCCACCATGCCTGGCTAATTTTTGTATCCTACTGTAGAGACAGAGTTTCATCATGTTGCCCAGACTGGTTTTGAACTCCTAAACTCAAGCAATCTGTCTACCTTGGCCTCCCAGCATGCTGGGATTATAGGCATGAGCCACTGCCCCTGGCCAGTACTTCGTAATTCTTCGTGGCTGTCTGAAGGTTCAGTATGGAGGAAGATGCTATGAAGTAATGCCATATTTCCGTTCTGCTCTTCTTCTACCTCCCACTTCTTTTCCTAAATCCCTTTAATTTCAACTGTTGATGGTACTCTTATAGGATGTATATTGTGTATATGTGTGTGTATACATATATGTTTATATGTATTTAAATAATTTTATTAGTAGTATTGCCCAGGAAAAAGGATAACAACCATGAATAATTACATATATTAGGTACACACCATGATAATATTAAGATAACAAGTTAGATATTAGACCTTAACTGTCTTTTTTTTTTTTTGAGACAGTCTCACTCTGTCACCCAGGCTGGAGTACAGTGGTGCGACCTTGGGTTACTGCAACCTCCGCCTCTTGGGAATAAGCAATTCTCTGGCTCAGCCTCCCAAGTAGCTGGGATTACAGGCACATGCCACCATGCCTGGCTAAATTTTTATATTTTTAGTAGAGACAGGGTTTCACCATCTTGGCCAGGCTGGTATTGAACTTCTGACCTTGTGATCAACTCACCTCAGCCTCTAAAGTGCTGGGATTACAGATGTGAGCCACCACACCCAGCAGCTGTCTTTTTTTAATCCTCTTTTTTTTTTTTTAGATACTCTTGCAGATTATTGGAGCAGGTTCATTGCACTATACCTACTTGTCTCTCACATGAGTGCAAAAGATAAAGTGAAATGGTTGTCAAGTAGTGTCTTCATTTTCAAAGGAGTGGGGGAGTTGACTTTGGTACAAGCCAATAAATGTATTGTTGATTCCTGAGAAATTTCAAGATTGAGTCATTCAGATGGCTGTGGGACTCAGAGAAGAACCCCGGACCAGCATGGGGTACAGCTCAGGAAAAGCAATTGCTGTCACAGAAATGTGTATTCTGTTTTGGTAGGATTACTATGTTAGTAGAGAAGTGTGTCAGGATACTATTCTGAATCTGAATTTCAGCAAGCAGATAGAGTCACAGGATTCCTCTTCTAGACTCATGGTAGGGAAGCAATAGCAAGGACTTCTCAGGAGGCGCTGCGGCAGCCAGCATGCCAGTCTAAGTACCATAGTGGCCTCCTGCTGAGAGTTGTTGCTTTGTTCAGGACTAAATTCTAGGAGAGGATC